CTCTTCCTCCATTGTAGACGACGAAGATGGTCACACAATATTCTAATATTTAATCCGACAAAAGAAAAAGACAACCAAACGATAACGGAAAAAAACAAATAAACAAACACTTATAGTCACATTCGTATTAAAATCCACTCTGCACGGTGGTCTTCAAGCACTTTTAGGTTTACCTAAAATGAGTCAACATTGTGCTAACGCTGTTTTATCTGAAATCGTTCCAAGATTCCAAATTTTTATTTTCAAAAATCGTAGCTGATTCTTTTTTCGAAAAAAACATATATAGAGTAATGTCACCTTGAGTGGGCCGCCTACGCTTTTTTCTAAAAAATTCTTTCTAAAAGCAAATTAATCGGAGATTACTATTTCAAGCTTTAGTTTAAATCCCTAGATAAGTGTTTATGCCATAATAGTTTTGATTTTTTTTATTGGAAAAAACAATTGACTTTTAAAAAAAGCTAATTTTTAAGAAATGAAAAAAGTGTAACCTTGAGTGGACCACTCCTTAAAAATTGTAAAAGTTATTCTAAATTCTTTAATGTATTTAATATTTCTGATATATTGAAACAAAATTTATGCTTATGCAGCTTCAGACCATGTATGTGTCGCAATGTTTACAAGTGAAACCATTTTTAATAATTTTGTCACATATCACATCAATATCACAAAAAAATTAATAAAGAACATAAATCATAGTTTCAAACTAATTTATTGTCAATTTATATCTAAAAAATGTTAAACTGACATTAAAAATGGAAAAAACAGGCAGTCCACTCATGGTTATAAACAGTGGTCCACTCATGGTGACAAACAACTTTTTATGGCAGACACCAAAATTTTTTTTTGAGTCAAAATTATCACTTAATTAAACTAAGACAATCAATTTCAATGTCCAAAGTAGTAGGAAAAAAATAAGTTACCTTTTAAAACTTAAATTTTACACTACTTTTACACTTCCAAATCACTTTACTCATTGAAAGAGCGACTTCTTTTTTGGTTTGTGTTCTCAAAAATGCGTTATATCAAACGGTAACGTATATGATTATCGCGGAACTTAATTTCTTACGGTTTCTAGGTGCGGTGCTGCTATTCGCACTATTTATTTCACGTTTCCGCTGTCAGATAACTTAAAAGCTCAGGTGGTCCACTCAAAGTGACATTACCCCTATGCGAAATTCCACGTGAGATTTTAGTCGACAGTGGGATTTTTTTACAATTAACTTTTTAAAACTGTCTACAGCGTAGACCCTTTAATTTAAAACAAAGAACACAAATAGATTAAAACTTACACGCTGCAGACAGTTCTAAAAAGTTAATTGTAAAAATATCCCATGTGATGCTTGCAAGTGATTTTTAAAAATGTTTTAAAACTCATTTAACACATCAGGCCCATTTCAGGACTTTTGGAAACTCTCCTCTATATTATAAGGTATAAATTACCTTACATTGTTAGGTCAGATGGCAAACTTCACCTCATCATTAAGTCTGCGCGCGGAAATTGTTTGACAAATTTTGACGTCTCACAGTGGGCCAGGATCGTCGAATTTTGGCCAAAAATACAATTTTTCAACTTTCAAATATGCACAAAAGAATTTATCCACAGTATTTAATAGTAAATAAGGAATTTATTGCATAAAGGATTTGTTAAATAATACAAAATTGTGTCTTCTAGAACTATTTAAAGTTTAACATTTGAGATAAAATAATAAAATGTTTTTGATTGAAATATTTAATATATCTAGAAATAAATTAATTATTTTTGTATAAGTACTTATTTTTTATCATCAATAGATATATTGAAGTAAAAAACCAATAGTTACTTTAAAAAAATAAAATTTATTAAAATGTAGCTCCATTGAAGTTAACAAATAGTGGATTTTTCAATAGACTTTCAGTTAGTCGACTTTTAGTTAGTCGAGCTCCTCCGAGCCGCATAATATTTGGAAAAACAAGTTATAGAACGATTACTTAGCATGTCTACTTTGACGCCAATATGTGCCATTTTGCGCCTTTTCATATTTTTTCAACATAACAAGAATATTGCAATAAACATATAAATATATGCAATAAATATATAAAGACAATTTTCAAAATTAATCAATTATGATGAACAGTGGTATTTAATGGTTTTTTGTGTCGCTGATTACGAATCTGATGTCAGATTTCAAAAATTCAAAATGGCGGATCCAATATGGCAGACATAAAAATTTTAAAATCAATAATGATTTCAGAGAAAGAGAAGTTATTAGAGAAAGAAAGAAAAGGGGTCTACTTTTCGTATGGCTGTCTAACATTTTGGTCGCTTGCGTACTCTATGCTAATAACTCTATGGTTTTTTGGGTCGCTGATTACGAATCTGATGTCAGATTTCAAGAAATCAAAATGGCAGTCATAAAAAATTTTAAATTAATCAATTTCAATGAGACATAGGTATGTAAAGGTTTTTCGGGTTGCTGATTACGAATCTGTTGTCAGATTTTAAAAATGTAAAAATGAGCACTTTGTTTCTGAAATCAGATATAGATATAAAATGGAGTGTTTATCTGATCCATGGAAATAAAAACAGATTCTCCAATAGGACTACATGCGCACTTGATATACCCACGCGATAAACTATATACCTGTAAGGGGCCGTACACATAATACGTCACGCGATTTTTGATCATTTTTAACCCCTCCCTCCCCCTATGTCACACTTCGTTACAAACCTTGAACCCCTCCCTCCCCCTACGTCACGTCACACACGTAAATTTCACTGTAAATTTTATACATTGGACATTATATATTATATCCTACACTCTAAATTATTGAATCAGTTAAAAATAACTGATTTAAAAGCAAAAAGTCAGTCACTAATTCAAATAGTAATATTTTTTTCTAACAATTAGTTAAAAATAACTGATGTTTCAATACAATTTTTTTGGTTTGATTCAATTAGTCACGTTTAACTACCTACATAGCACCGAAACTTTCCTAAAAATTTATTAAAGATTTACTCGCAAGCTTCGAAATATTTAAATGCAAAGTTTAGTGAAAATTGTGTAAAGATTTAAATATCCCACTTCAATAAATCTTTAGCGCGAAACTTTCCTGAAAATTTAACTTAAATTTTAACGAAAGTATATTCGAAAATGTAATTCAAATGTTCAGGAAACTTTCAAGCTATATTTTTAAGAAAATTTAACGATAAACATTTATTGGAGTGAGAAATTTAAATCTTTATACAATTTTAACTAAACTTTGCAAGTAAATTTTTCGAAGTATGCAAGCAAAATAATATACATATTTAGAAAAGTTTCGGTGTTTTGTGGATAATTTTTTAGTTATTTTTAACTGATTCAGAAGCAGAAAGTCAGTCACTGCTGATTGTCAGTTAAAACCATGATTTTTAACTGATTCAAGTTAAGAGAATATATTATTTATCATATTATAAATAATATAATAATAAATGTTAAACAGGTACATAATATATATTAAATAGTTTAAAGCATTTTTAACTTGTTTTATTTAGAAAAAGTGACATTGTCACATATTATTTCTTATAATCTTTGAATCTGAAAGATTGTGACGTAACACATGAGTTCACCCCCCCTCCCCCATGTCACACTTAGTCACAATTCTCAGACCCCCTCCCTCCCCCTATCCGCGTGACGTATTATGTGTACGGCCCCTAAGTAAACATCAGGTCTAAAAAAACAAAAAAATTTTTAAAATCTAAAAAAATACAAAATGGGATCTTTACCTGTAACCTCCTCGTGGTAGATCCTGGAAACTACTGTACTTTTTATTTTTGTAGGCTAATAACAGGAAAAAAAATTTTATTTTCTGAATTGTATAGACACTAGTTTTGTAATCACCAAACTTAAAAACTCCCAAGCAAAAAATTGTAGGCGAATCTCACCCAATCTAAAATCCACTTGAATTCTTACATCAGATTCGTAATCAGCGACCTAAAAAACCCCTAGATACAAAGTTTCATAAAAATCGATTAATTTTAAAAATTGTATGTCCGCCATTTTGAATCCGCCATTTTGATTTTTTGAAATCTGACATCAGATTTGTAATCAGCGACCCAAAAAACCCATAGATACCTATGTTTAATTCAAATTTATTAATTTAAAAATTTTTATGTCCGCCATATTAGATCCGCCATTTTGAATCTTTGAAATCTGGCTTCAGATTCGTAATCAGCGACCCAAAAAACCTTTAGATACTTATGCTTCATTAAAATTGATTCATATAAAAAAATTTATGTCCGCCATATTGGATCCGCCATTTTGAATTTTCGAAATCTGACATCAGATTCGTAATCAGCGACCCCAAAAATTGTAGGTAGCCTACTTTTTATTCGTAAATATCTTGTTCTCTTTTAAATAATGGTTTTTGGCCAAAAATTGACGATCCTGGCTCACTGTGCGTCTATGTCAAAGCTGCCCTCAAACTTGACCTAAATTTTGAGGGTAGCGGGAATTCTTTGTCAAATTTTGATGTGTAGGCCCTCAAAATTGACCTAAATTTTGAGGATAGCGGAAATTGTTTGTCAAACTTTCACGTCTAGGTCAAAACTGCCCTCAAAATTGACCTAAATTTTGAGGGTAGCGGGAATTCTTTGTCAATTTTTGACGCCTAGGTCAAAACTGCCTTCAAAATTGACCTATATTAAAGTAATGTGAGGCCGTTATTTATCCTCTTTTTGACCTACAGGTCAAAAAAAGGTCAAATTAGACATAGATTTTGACGTAATAAGATAGACAGATATAAATCAGAGAAATTCGCAATCTTTAATTTAGTTTTTCTGGAAATGAGACTTTCAATATTTCTTAAGTTATTCGAAAATTATATTCATGCCATGGAATTTTTTTGCTTTTTTAAGAATACATCTGTTAATTATATGGAGAAAGAAAAATGGTCATGAAATGAACAACTTGTTTCTTTTTACAATGACCGTCGATTTATTTTTGGAATGTTTAAACAGTTATAAATAAATCAATTTTTTTCAGTGAAGCCAGCAGTAGTAAAGATTTTCTTCAGTGAAGATCCCGTTTTAGAGGGACGTGAGATTACTGCTCGGTGTCAAACATGGGGAAGTTCACCGGCTGCAAGGATTATTTGGAAATTAGGAGGATTGGAAATTGGAGGTGTAAATATTATAACTACTCAAATGAGTAACTCCACAATTAGCAAAATTGATATAGTTCTCAGCAAAGATGATGACGAAAAAGATATAACTTGCAGAGCTGAAAATCCTAGATTTCCTGGTGGTATTCTTGAGGAAACCAGAACAGTTCACGTTCTTCGTGAGTAACTGCTTTTGAGAATTGTTTTTAATATTTATTTATTCATTTATTTATTATTTAATAGATGTAATTTCATAGAAAATCAATAGAGGTGTATGAAAGGTATAAAGACACCTGTATTAGCTGATGTAGATATTCTTTTCGAGGAATTAAACAGCTTATTCTCTCTTTCTCTCTCTTTGAAAAAGCGGTTAATTTTCCGTAATGAGAAGTGTATAGATGCTTGTATACGAGGTGACTTTTAAAGCATTTTTATTAATGTAACACTATTTTAAAGTAAATGTAGATAATAGAAATGAATTATCTCATCTAAAACAAAGCTAAATTCATAAGAGAAATGAAGTTTTAAGAAAAAAAGAATAATTTTGTTCAAAAAATTTATTCAAATGAAAAAAGGTTAGAATTTGATAATTCCTTGTTACTCTTACTTACCGACATTAGATATTTCTCGGATGCAGTAAGCACGATTTTGTATTAGCGGTAGAATAAATAAGTTATTCTTCATTACTAATTAATAATATATTATTATTTATTTATTATATAAATGTTCTTATATAAAATAATTAAATTTAATACAAAATCCTGCTTACCGCATCCGAGAAATATCTAATGTCGGTAAGTAAGAGTAACAAGGAATTATCAAATTCTAACCTTTTTTCAGTGTGAATACATTTTTTGAACAAAATTATTCTTTTTTTCTTGAAACTTCATTTCCCTTATGAATTTAGCTTTGTTTTACTTTGAAAATTCATTTCTATTATCTACATTTACTTTAAAATAGTGTTATATTAAGAAAAATGCTTTAAAAGTCACCTCGTATACAAGCATCTATACACTTCTCATTACGGAAAAGGCTCGTATGAGAGATTTCTCATATTTCTCATACAAGCTACCGAGCTCGTATACGAACTCCGCGGTCCGTGTATCGAATTTTTTTACTGGGTACTTTGGTAACATGTAACTCGTTTAATGAGAGTCCTATGATGTTCCTGATTTTTTTCTATGTTCCTTAAATCTTTCTGAATAATGTTATTTAAACAAATAACCGTTATTATAATAACTTTTTGAGATTATTAAACGAAACCGTAGTTGTGTTATCTTTGTTGGAAATTAAGGTACGAAGATGAGACAAAGTACACGTTACGGAGAATACGACACTTATTACGATTCATCAACAAAAGTTTGGAAAAAAATTATTTTAAGTAATTATTTGCAAAAGTATTTTCAGTTTTTTGCTTTATTGCACCATTAGCAGTCAGGTGTATACTACTGTAAGTCTTTTTGTCCGAGACTCCAAGTTTAGCAATACTACCTTTATTTTGGTCATTTTTTTCTGTGGTTGAAACTGATTTATTACTTTGAAGATTTGGTTTCTAAGGACGTACAGAGGTGTAAACACCCAAAATATTTTTCCTGTCTTAAGAAATTCAAAATTGTATGTAGGTTTGGGTAGAAGTGACCTGAAGTCCTCACTTACCTGCTCATGTCTACAATAATACAGTTTATCGCATTTAAAATGTTGACGCCTATGAGAAATGGTTTATGATGGTGTGCACCTTACCGCTAATGGTGCAATAAAGCAAATACTGAAAATAGTTTTGCAAATAACTTCTTGAAATAATTTTTTTTCCAAACTTTTGTTGATGAATCGTAATAAGTGTCGTATTCTACGTAACGTGTACTTTGTCTCATCTTCGTACCTTAATTTCCAACAAAGATAACACAACGACGGTTTCGTTTAATAATCTCAAAAAGTTATTATAATAACGGTTATTTGTTTAAATAACATTATTCAGAAAGATTTAAGGAACATAGAAAAAAATCAGGAACATCATAGGACTCTTATTAAACGAGTTATATGTTACCAAAGTAGACCCTGTGAAAATGATGCCAAAAAACATGTTCTTTTTCCCTTCAAAAATTAATAACTTTAAGAAAAAATTTTTTATTTGTTTTTAATTTTTTACATTAATGTAGAAATAAATTACTTACTGATTCCATACAGTTTCAATATTGTGCGATTTTTTTTATTCAAGTTACAAGCCTTCAAAGTCAACTGACTTTACATTTTACACCGATAGTAGGCATTTAGCTATTCGATAAACGCAGCTTAGGCCAATTAAAAAACACAATTATTATTATTATTAAAATTATTTATATTATTATTATTTTTCTGTTGCTATTCTTTCTAATTATTATTATTCCTAATTAAATTCATTATAACTGTAAGCAGCAGCAAAACAGTCTATCAGTGGAGGGCAGGGATTTAGGAAATGTAATAAATAAAAACGACCACAAACGGAATTTTTAAATTAACAATCATGCAAATATTTTCTTTTAAAAGAGTGGACAATTTTGTGTAATCAGTGTAAGTTTCATTAATTTATTGCAAACGGCTTTTGAGTTATTAATTTTTTTTAAAATGTTGTATTATTTTGTTAATAAAAAAATAACAAAAATTTTAAATTTCAAAAAACGGTTAAAGGTGTTTTTTTGTTTTGTTGTGAACTAGATTTTTATAAAAGTTTTAACATTTTAGAAAATCAATGAAATTTTTTTAACACTGTTGAGCTGGTCTGGCCCTATAGCAATGGAAAAACTTGTAAATAAAAGCGTTCCAATATTTCAATAAATAAAAATTTTATTAAATATATAATTTTCTTCTATTGGCCTAAGCTGCATTTGCCAGTTAGCTAATTATCTGATCCCTTCAGGCGAATAGACGAATAATAGTAATATTGAAGCTCGTTCGTCTATTCGGCACCGATTAGCTAACTGCCTAGGCGTTTAGCTAAATGTATCTGTCCACAATTTAGTAGTAAAGGGTATTTTGGGTCGCTGAACACGAATCTGAAGTCAGATTTAAACAATATTTAATTTTTTATCCAATATGGCTTCACTTTTATTAGACGGAATCCCACCCTGAGTTAGTCAGCCCACATTAATATTGTATATTTTGTTGTTTTATTATTAGAAACGTCCTAACAAGCTTTAACCCGGCGAGTATGAGGTTGGGCATGTTGTAAGGATCTTGTAATAAAAATAAACGCACGAAAAAGAGAAATCATGTAAAAATACGAAAACACACAAATAATTTCCGAGCGAGTGACAAATAGAACGCGCCTGCGCGATAGACATAGGAACTAACTCGCGAAAGAGAATGATCCGAGAGTATATCGGCATCCCCTCCAGAGTCTCGCGGAGACTCAGCTCCAGACGCCCCGCCACCTCGCGACTAGCCAATCACGAAACATTAGTACTTCGCACGACGACTATAAAGATAGGGCCTTCGCACGATCCCGAGGCATTCGACTCCACGGAGCTTCAGAGGTCTTACCTCTGGAGAGTCTTACTCTCGCACTTCGCAGCAACGATCGCAGCACGGCGGCTTCAACGATACGTTCGACGAGCGGTTTGACCCTCACTAGAGTCTGACTCTAGTAAGTCGAATCAACGATACTTTCGACGAGCGGTTTGACCCACACTAGAGTTTGACTCTAGGAAGTCGAAATCAACGAGACGGTCGGGGAGGGTTTGACCCTCGAGAGAGTCTGACTCTTCCACCGACACCTTCGACGACGAAAAGAGAAAAAAAGGGAACACCATTCTTCCGATTTTTCGCTTCTATTTTCTCTTTTGGTTATTTTTTGAGTATTCCAATCTCGAGATCCCCCGTTACCCCCCCTATATAATTTAACCTTGGAGTTTTCGCGTATATATTTTCGACGTTTTCGTTTTGACATATCTTTATCTATTTTGAAACGCCTGTGCCGTTTTCTTTTTTTCGTAGCGTAACGAAAATATCTTTGTAGAGTACTACTTTTTTGCGAACGAACCACCGGGTTCGATTTATTTTTTTAGTCTTAATCTTTATATTCTAATAACATTATTTTTTTAAATCATTGTAAATATGTTCGAATACGATAATAAATTCGTTTTGTTTTGTTAAATCTGATAATTTATGAACCCTGATCCGACGAGCTAATTTCCGGCAAGAAGTTTTTCTTACATTCATTACAGATTTTTCTGGCGCCCGAACAGGGACGTACGCGATTAAATTTTATTTAAAATGGCAGACGATAGAATTCCGCTCACCCGTTCCATGATTTGGACGATGAATAAAGTTACTCTTGAAAACGAATTGCACGAAAGAAACGTACCTTTTCCCGCCGACGCGAATCGCGATCAATTAAGAAATTTATTACGCAACCTTATAGGACACGAATTAAGATCTCACGACCAAAGACAAGAAAATCTCTCGAATGCAGACGACAATAACGGAGATACTCTTTGTCATCACGGTTCCCAACAAGGCGACGGCCATAGCGCACGCAATGATGGTCAAAACGACAGACTCGTGTCAAATGAACGTATTTTAAATTCGAGACAAAGTAACGCTCAAAATAATTTTCCTCCCAACGAAAATTTAATTAATGACGGACGAAACGAACAGATAAATTTAAATCGAGATCAAAATAGCAATCGTACTAATGAACAAAGACGTAATAGAGACCCACGACTCGCATCTAGAAATGATATTAGTAGACCTAGCAGTGCAGGTAGTTTTATCGCTGAATCTACTGTACAATCTAGACGCGGTGGGGTTAATCGAAACGAAAATCGACGCGATGATGATAGGGCTCGTCAACGGAGAAATCTCAGACCAGCACAACAAAATCTTACTCATAGAAATAGACCCGAACACTTAAATGTTCACGATCATAATCGTCCTCGTTCAGTTGCCGATAATTTTGAAGATAGAGATCGCGATTTTCTAAATTATAATGATGGATACGATAGACCCCGCAAAAGTCTCGCCGAAAAAGTACGCAAATGGGGCGTTTTCTTTGATGGTACGCGTGATCTTCTCGACTTTTTAGAACACGTAGAGGAATTAAGTTTCACTTATGAAATCCCTCTAGACAATTTACTCCATTGCCTTCCTATGCTTTTAAGGGGAAACGCGATTTCGTGGTATAGAAATAACCGGAGAAATTGGC